GTAAGAAAAGCTATAGCAATAAGAAAACTCATTAGCACATAATTTATTGCGCTACATTAACACTGGATATTTATTAAAATTGGACTAATGATAAAATCCAAAGTAACGTGGTAAATTGTCGTAATTTAGATAATCATTTTCGTTTCTTTCCCAATAACTCGGACAAAGAATCCCGTCCCGATTGTGAAGTAATTACGACAATCGCTGGAATTAGGAGAAACGGTTATAGGGAAACGACAAAATCCACTTGTTACGTTGCTGATTTGCTTGAAGTTATATGCCATTTCTATAACCGTGTTAGAGGGAAAAGAGCAGGCAGGAAGGAAGGAAGGAAAGAGAGGAAAGAGACATTAGCGAGAAGGAAAGAGAGATTTCCGAGTGGTGAAAGAAATAAGCGACACAGTGATTGAGAAGGAGCGAATGGGCGAGATATATAAGGTGTATACATGCACAGAGTGATTACATCAAGCATCAGAATTGTTTTCCTCAAAGGCAAAATTTGCATCGTTCTTTAAGATGAAAATTGAATTAACTATTCTCACTCGTAATTTTCAATTCCACCATTAAATGCACAAACATTGAACCAACTCTGCCAAGAAATTATTTCTCGAAGCGCGATTTCAAACGAGATGTTGTCATCTGTTTAAACTTTTCAAGTTTAATTTGCTCGTATCGTTATGTATAAATAAAATTGCAATTTCGACAATTACGCGACATACACGCACATGTATGCAACTTGCAATTTTTGAAATCCATTCAGAAGCTAAGTTGTTTCAGTTTGGAAGTCATCACTCTAACGGGAATAGTACTGTTTGAACTGCGCGTTAGGATTAGGACACCCTATAGGGAGAACAGCGGTAAGCGTCGGCCGTTGCCAAGGCAATGAATCGCAGATTGACGCAGGCGTCGCGACGTCCGGCCGCGCGCTCACCCCCGTATTCCGCCCCCTCTTTCTCCCGCCGAAGCGTGCCACTGCTTAAAGCGCGCACCTCGCCCGGTTCACCCCCCCGTCCCATCCCTACTTATGACACAGACGGTTAAATTCGCCAAGTTTGTCGCATTATGATTTATACGGGGAAATTCCGTCGGTGTCGATTTTGCGGGCCCAGACCTCGATACGTCTCTCTCCCGATTGATCTCAGAATCGCTATTCAATTGTATCTCGTGTTTGGATTTCGTTACGGATGAATATGCATGCTTCGCATCGCGACACTCTGATATATTCCATCTCGCGTAATCGACAATATTTTCTGAAGGACGCTCGAGATCGGCGCCGGCTGCTTTACAATTGTGTCGTGTCCCCACGGCATTTGTCTTTAATTAGAGATAATCTGTTTACCTCTGACGTGATTCACGCTTTTTCTGTCAATTTTAAAAGAGCTACCTGTGTATATCGTTCGAAATACGTAATGAATCAGTGAAACGCTACGCTCGTTATAAATGTTACACACGGTTACGGTCTACGTATTTTAGAAATCTGTGTAAAGTTACACATTGCATGAGTACATATATTGCGATCGATGTTAGTTTCGTTTAATTATTTGGCAAAAGTTTCGAGCTTGAATAATGCTGCGGAATCTGTGATTGGATTTTTCTGCCGCGAGCCTCGAAAGTTAATATCCAGAATTTAACATTTACAAAATACGCGAAATCCAAATTAACTCTAACGTCGGCGGCTGCACAAATCTGGAATCTCGTAGATAGAAAAGCAATTGTATAAGTTGTGCCATTCAAACTTCCAATTTGGAGTGTGGATAGATAATTGCGAGATGCTTCAACTTAAATTGCGTTGCGATTCGACATAGTATTTTCTACTTCCAATCTAGGATTCTCCTCTTCTCACTCTGCTTTCTTTTTTATAATACTTGTTCAAATGTGATATTTCAACGAAAAGTACTTGTCTTTTAAATAAAATGTAACCCTCAGAATTTGCCACATAATTGATAGATCGCGGTGTATGTTAAACATTAATCATCGGCAAAAAGTAGCCGTTACTTTTCTGAGCGCAAGTTATGTTAAAATGCATAAGAGCTAGGTCATTCGTAATTACTTTTTTCTCTCACTATTAATGTTAAGCTTTAGATATCGCGTGCGCAGAAAAATACCTGGGGGGTCAATTCTTACACTATAGTGAAAATGCTAAAAGTGAATAGTTTTGTCTATGTCTAACTGTTCCCTTAAAAAGAGACAAGGCCGCTCACTTTTAGCAGTTTCACTATGTTGCCTGATACAGAATTGATTCCCTGTACGCGGTTTTACGAAACTGTTTAAAGCTCGAACGCTTGATCCTTCTGCTTTACATACGCGTGATCGGTTAAAATCAAAGTGTGTCAATTTCGAGTTGCGTGCTCGTCGGCTATGGGGCCGCGTCGGACCGCTCCAAAGTTCGCCCCGCGACTCGGCGGACGGTCCGTGCGAGCCGCGTACATTAGTATACGTAGCGCGCATCCCCAGGGCAGGGGAGGCGAGTAAGAGAGAGAAAGAGACGAAGAGTACAGGGCAGCAGGAGGGTGGAAGAAGCCGCGCGCGCGAGATATATATACAGCGTATGTCGCGGTGGCATCGTCGTCGGCTCGAGCGGTGGGGTCGGGTGGAAAAAGTTGGGTGAAACTTGAAGGAGAAGCGGAGAAGGAAGCGCGCAGGATATACGCGGGGGGAAAAGGGTGGCACGCGCGCTGCGCGGGCGAAGCGGAGAATCGGAATGAAAGGAGGGAAACGGGGAGTTGGTGGGACACGGGGGTTGAATCTGGAAAGAAGAGGGAAGTTCGGCGGAGACGCGCCGTAGGCAACACATCGTCGGGTTGCTACTGGTAAGCGTGGCAGCGCCGAAGGTGATCGCGACCGGGGTTGAACAGTGGTAGTAGCTACGCGGCGACGTTGGTGGTGGTGGCGGCGATGGTAGTGGTGCGGATGGTAGAGCGGTAGTGGTGGATCGGCTTGTCCCGACGCGCGCCGGGAAAGTTTCGTCGAGAAACGCGGCGCGCGCGGAGTGTGAGAACGCGCGGCGGCGGCGACGGTGGTGGCGGCGGCGGCGGCGGCGGCGGCAGCGGCGGCGGTGGCGGCGGCGGCGGCGACGAGCGAGAAAGAGGGCCAGGGAGAAAGTTGGGGGTGAGTCGCGCGCGGGGGTGAGAGGCGCGGGATAGAGTTTGGAGCGAGAGTCCGGAGGACGGCGGCAACGCGATGCGGAGGCAAGGTTTTCGTCTCCAGTTCCCGCTAAGCGGCCGACAGGTTTGGAACGAGCGCGCGGGCTACGGCATACGTTCGTGCGACACGCGGGCTAGCGTGTTTCACTCGTTTTGTATATATGGGCTACATATATACATATAAAAGGGGTACATATACATAGCGTGCGCGTAGTGGCGGTTGTCGGTTAAGGGAGGACGTCGGCACACGTGGCCACGCGCTACCAGCGACGAGCGGCCCGCTACCACGGTGACCGGCACGCGGCGTGGGACGGTCGGAATCGCTTGCGCGGGGTTCACGCGTGCTACCGCGGTGGTCGAGTTCACGCGTGGCACTACGGCCGCGGAGGGTCGCGAGCGAGCGAGCGAGGTCGACGAGCGCGCGACCACCCTCCTCCCACCGCGCTGGTCCGCGTCTCCTCTTCTCCTTCTTCGGTGCGTCCGCGTCCTTCTCTTCCTCCTCCTCCTCCTTCTCCTCCTCCTCCTCCTCCTCCTTCTCCTCCTCCTCCTCTTCCTCCTCCTCCTCCTCCTCCTCCTCCTCCGCCTCCTCCTCTTCTTCCTTCTCCACCTTCGCCGGCTCCTACTCTCGCTGCTTCGCCTCTCTCTTCCTCATGTTCTCTACCCCTAGTGAGATATTGATTTCCCTTAGCTGACTCCCACGAGGGCAGGCGGCAGGCAACCAGGTACGGCTACCGTGCCACGAGTAGACAGCTTCCGACAATCAGAAAGAAACCATCGTATGCACTTGGTTGATCTATACTGAGCGGACGTAGCCTTTCGTCCATCTTCCTCCATTTGCCGATGGGACTTGCTTTTTCAATTCCACTCTATTCGGTACAGGGGCACTTTTCCAAACATCCGCCACGTGCTTCGTGCGCTCGCGCTATTGTTTCTCAAGATTTCCATTTGAATCACTAATGGTAGGAGAATGCTCGAATGCACCCCCTGGTCGCTCTAAGTGAACTCCATACGTAAAATCGGTGTTTTAATTTCTACGCAATTTACATAATTAAGCATCAATTAGGCAAATAGAAATTTTATTACTTATTGATAACCAAGTACGCGATAAATTATTTATCGTATTTATATACATCGGGGATTACGCATTAAAACAGCATTGTACGGTTGTCGTGGATTATCTGTTATTCAATTCCTGACTGTTGTTCGTTTAAAAGTGTCATTGAAATGCCGAAATAGACGGAGCCTCGCGTTTAATATTCAGCTCGCCGTTCGTCCGAGAATATTAGTTTCTTCCCAACTATCCCCGCCGCCTCGCGAAGTAAACGCTCTCGCGTAGCTGTTGTTTGATAATCTGTAGATGTTTCGACAAAGTTTCGCGAAGTGCGCGGCCATGTTGGTGCCTGCGCATTGCCGGCGCCGACGAATTCGCCGGAGTGACATGAAACTTTTTTATTTACCGCGTTCGTGCTTACACACAGAGACAGACAAAGGGGGTGACTGGGGGAAGGGGGTGGCTTGGCCGCGCGGAAGGAACCGTTTCCCCTACTCGAAGTCTACCTACCTCGTATATAATCGCCGAACCCCCACCCCCACCCCCGACCGACGTCGCCGCCGCCGCCGTCGCCGCCGCCGCCACCGCCTGCCGCTTTCCAGCAAAGTTTTCCGGAGATCCTGGAAACTGCGAGAAACGACGAGGGTGAAGAGGGGTCGCGCGCGCCCGACGGAGGGGAGAAGCGACGATCGCTCGCCACCCCCGTGCGCTCTCGCTAGCATCCCTTTTCAGCGGATTCTAACCTAGTAACGAGTTTTGCTCTGTCGGTAACGCCAGGACGCGTGCCAGCTATAAAACGTGTCGCGTGCTGCGCTGACGGGAGGGATGAATAAAGTGGAGCACGACGCGAGATACGATTGCCGCGGGATGACTTGTCGTAATCGCGCGTATCCTGCGCTCTAGCTCACGGGGATGTGCGGGACAACGTGACGGCGTGTAAATCGCGCGGATAACTCGGCGCATTTTGGCGAGGTTTAATCAAGACGCTTGAGGTATGAATTATTTCGCCTGTACTTGTAAGTAACGATTAAGTCGGCCGGGCCAAGGGTCGGTGGACAAAGATTTTCTTTTACACGCGCGGCAAGTTTCGCTACGTGTCGCGCGTCGAGCAGAACGCTCGTTCTCTCGTGTACGTGTGTCGTGCGTGCGTGTCACGTGTGTGCTTTCCTGCTTACACCAGTCCGAGTAATCCGAGAACCGATTGTGAACAAGTCTCGGCGATATTTCGCACGGTCCGGCATGCCACGAATTTTGTTTCCCCTTTGTCCTCCTGTGTTCTGAACAAGCGCGAGACCGGCCGCTTCTCGCGTTTGAACTGTCGTAATTTTTCAGTATTGCGCACATTGTTGAAATCGAACCAACTCTGCTCCGCTCATTTTTGCAGCGTTATTCCCGCTAACTCTGGTCACTTTGTAAATTTTCTATTTCTTTATCAAATCGAGATACGCGAGCCACGAGCTGCTTGGACGCTCGACGGAGCTCGGGCGAACGCGATATTTATTACCGGAGCAAGCCAGGTCAGCTGATCGTCTGCTGGCCTGACTATATAACGATGCTTGTTGCGAGAGTATCAACGCTTTTGATTATCGGGATTCCGTGCGCGCAGACTCAATGCGAGATTAATCCTCCGCGAGGGAACCCCTTTCACTACGAACTTGCCAATACCAATCCGTCGCACGTTCGAAAGTTTCGCGAGCGCCGGAAACTTTTGCGCTCGCTCCGCCAACCGAGTGAATTCTGTCGGAAACCAAAAACTCTAATCCACACCGCACGATCAGCTACCAGTTTGACGTAAAAAAAAGAAAGAAAAACAGATCGATTGTGAATTGACCGCAGACTTCAACTCAGACCTCGGTAATTGACGTAATTAACAGCTGCTACTGTACAAATTTTATTTCACTCATTTGCATTTAATGCGGCTTATTTTCACAGTGAAAGTTCGACTTGGTTTCTTCTTTAATATTCTTCCATCGTGCTTTATACGACATTTTAATGCGTTGTAACGTTAATAATACATTTACGTTAAAAATGCTAGCGTTTATTAGCTCGCGCCGCTTAAAAAATATTTTTTCGTCGAGTCAAATACACCCCACATGGACCCTGTAAGCAGGAAAACTGTCATATCGGATCTTCTTTGTCGTCCCGCCTCATTGTTTTCGCCTCAAGCTTTCATCGCATTCACGACGCCTGTTTCACTCGCGCGGGACACTACGAAAGAAGAGCCCCGGCGCTCTTTGCTCCGGCATACGAGACGCATCGTAAACAATGTTCCGGCCGCGTTTAGCAGCGCACGCGACGACGCGGCTCGATGCACGGCGTCGTCAGAGAGGTACTAATTAAGCCGACTCCCGCGGTGTAATTCCGCGTTGCCGGCATTGTGCCTCGAATTCCACCAAGTGGCTGTTGGCCGGGGCCGCTTTTCGAGTCTCCCGGAGCATGGTCCGAGGCCTTTCAACCCCGATTCCATGGCGCGTGCGTCTCGTTCCCGGCATCGTCGTCGACGTCATTGTTGACGTTCACGTCGTAATCCTCGCCGTTTTCCGTGTTATTCCTCGGCGTGGAATCTCGGAGCAGCACAGGTTGCACCTTAATTTCATTTCGTCTCGCACCTTCTTCGCGGAGTATCATCTCGGATGAACTTCGTATTTTCCTTCGTGTCGCGATTCTTTCGTTCCCACTTCGTATTGCGCGTCATTGTAATGTGCACGATAGCCTGTTACGAAAAGGAGCGCCGTTAATTACATGAGAAATCCCAATATTTTTTATTTACGTTTTATTCACGTTGGAACATTTAGGAATAATATGCGCGCAAGCTCTTGCATCACAAATGTAAGTGACTGCAGTTTTGATTAAGGAATGGAAGAGAAAAATAGTCTCTCCACCGTATTACATTAATGTCTTGCGAAAGGAATTATTATTTATCAACAGATCACGCTCGTGCACTTATATTGATTCAGAAATTATACGTTTTGCTTAGCATAAATGAAATTATTGCATACACGGAACGATACTTTCGTATCCATTAGTGTTGTTGACTTTACGCGATTTTACATTTGATATTTGAATTTTTCTTTGCTATTTACATGTGTGTGTGTGTGTGTGCGCGTAGGTTAATAGAATATTTTTTGAAAATGATATACGTCATACAAATAAAACTTGAATCACGCGATAAAAAATGCATTTCTGAGCTTCTTATAAAAGAATATATCTGTTTACTCAAAATGACGATAACAAGGCGCATTCTATTCCTGCGAAAGCTATTTTGAACACATGCCACATTTCTCTTTTTATTCCATTTTGGACCAGCGTACGATAACATGCTGTAATAGGAGATGGTAAGAGGGATGTAAACTTAATGGAACAAGGATAGGATTTGAATTTAAATAATGCATTCTCGTCCCAGCTGCACATTTATGAGATCTGTGCGAATAAAACTTATTCCCTTTTCGTTGACACCATTGCATCAAATGGAAATAATAACGCAGATAATTTTGTAATGACCCGGAGAAAGCTTGACACCCGGGATTGTTTCGCGGAAGAAATAGTGCGCCAGCGTGAAAATTTTTGTGGAGGGCTTAATCTTCGTAATTCTTTCGGGATTTCGTACTGTTACGTTTGCAGGGGGGTTTGCAATACTCGCGACGAAAGTTGGAATCGCGTCGTTGAATCGGCACATTTCTTTATGAGCTCAGTCAACCGTCGATCCCCCGCTTTTTTTTTTATGGTTTCTATTTCTTTTCTCCATCTCGCTCTCTGTATCCGATGAACGTCGCTTCAGAAGTTCGGTACGTCGAAACTTCGCCGAAGCGCAATCTTCCGTGTCGTACACTCCGCCGTAGCGTTGGGGGAGTACGAATCTGTCATAGTCATCCGCATCTTCTGGACAGTTCCCCCGAGCAGATCTCTGTTTTCAACAACAATATGTTCGCGCATACCGTTTGTCACGGAAATTTCGACGGTGGCTTTTTGCCGGCAAACATATACGAATGGAAGGTCCGAGTCATTAAAGTCTTTGTTTGCCGGAAGAACTGACGTTTCGGAATGAGCGATAGCGACGATATCTCAAGTTACGGTATCCGCCCGGCAGTCGTCGTCGTGCTGACTCTCGGCGAAAAGACTCGAGATCGTCGAGAAGTTGCGGATGCCGGGAGAGACGAATGGGAAGTAACGGGTAGCCAATCGTGCGGCTATAATAGCCACGCAAAACTAGTCGCAGAAGTATTGGCACGGGGGCATCGGATGCCCGATCGACCGGGACTCTAAGTTTGCATAGTCAAGGGTAGATAAAACACGCAAAAAAGAAAAAAGAAAAAGGAGAGAGTCGGAAATCATCTCGGAAGTATCTTCCGTTATTTGCGATTAATTGATGATCACGTTTCAACGGTGTAATTTATAAATGAAACAGCGGAGGTCGCATGAATAAAAATGAATCATACGCTCCGAGAGGAAAAGCATTTGTTCCGAAGAGCGTGAAATAAAAAGCGCATATCTCACTTCGCACGAATAATCCTTTATTTTCATATTACCCTTTGGTTTTATTGATTTGTACGTAAACGAATTTGTCATCGTTTTCATTGTGTCTATCGATAATCTAGCCGTATCAATGCGCACAGATTTGCCGTGTACAATTTATGGTTGATTTATGACTTTTGTAATATACATTACAAGATAAAAAGTACATAAATAGAATCGCAGACATAACTCTGGATACGTTTTACCGCAATAATGTGTCTGCACAGATGGAATAAATATATTTCATATACCAATTTTTGTAGCATTTGCTATAAATTATTATATCGATGACCGTTTCAATATATTGTAAATTTAGTAGTATTTAATCTGGAGTGTTCTAAACTGAATATTTGATATCTGAAAGGATAGTCTCGTAATATGAGACAGCAGGTTTTTCAAATTTAATCACAATTTTTTCGCAATAATTACACGAGTAACCTAGCAATCAATTTTGCACTGAACAGATTTCACTCCATGGGTAATAAATTCATGGTGGATCCAACAGATAATGTCTATTAATTTAGCAGAAATCCCGCTATCTCGTGTATTAAGAATTTATCTCATGATAGAGGACTGTCTTTTACTATTGAAGAAAACGCTTATATGAAACCACGTTGTGGACGTGTTTCAATTGTTACGAATTTTTATCGACGATAGGAAGGTTCGACTGCGCGAGACGATGATTTCGATAACCGTTCTCAGTCTCAGCCTCTTACTCTCAAACTTGCAGCATCGGCGTCAGCCCACCGCGGCGGCGAGAGTGGGGAAGTTTACGTCGTAAACTTCGGGTCTTAAGGGTGGAATTATAGTTCGGCGAAGCGAGCGCTGCGCTACGCAGTTGTTACCACGACGAGCGCTTTAAAAGTTGGTCCCGGCTCTTCGTGTCGGTTCGAGGGGGTGCAGGGAAGTGGATTCCGGGGGATGGGGAGCGCGGGACGACGTGAAAGGAGGCGAGAAGGGGGTGGAGACGCGGTTAAGTTGCCAGGAAACTTTGGTAAAACTGAAAAGTTAATTTCGTCGTGTTAAATTACTCGAGCGCCCGGGCATTAAACTTGCAAAAGTTGGTCGGATGACTGAAATACGTATCCTCCCTCTTCTCTTCCTCCTCCCCTCGTCCCCTTCTTTTCCTCGTTGCTTTTGCTTTTGCTAACTGATCTAAGACGCGAAAGGATAGTGTGATTTGATTGCTTGCTCCGAATTGAAACGTTGAACAAGGAGGAACGAAACACTGCAAAGTACAAAATCGTTTAATCCAAACAATTCAAACTCGTTAATTCACGACCCAAGTATATTCTAATATTCTACTCGAAATATATTTTGGTATTAATTTATCTTTATATCATCCTTTGAATGGCCATAACATTGCATAATTGCCCAATTAATTAATATTCTATTATTGCCTGTGTGTCAATTACATGAACATTAGTGCTCCATTAAATACATTTATCCCCTGCACTGCAGTTGTGTTGAATTACTCTACTGTATGTAATTTTATCGCGACACTCTAGGTTACAACACGTACCGATAACAATATGTGCAATACATACATATAACTCTTTCGAAAAATCAATAACATTTAAATTATAGCGCGATATAAAGAGTTAAAATTATTGTAGGGATAAAATTTCGGATATATGTTAAGTAATAATAGGATTCTAATTAAAGATAGTCAAATTTTAATTAAAGATAATGAAATTTTAATTTTAAGTAAATTGAACTTTTTTTTAAAGATGTTCTTCATTCGCAGATAAGTTGAAAGATGTTTAATATTGGAAATTTACGAGTAATAACTTTTTATGTTTGCGCTAAACAAGAACTAATTTCAAGTTGGTCGAAAAGTTTACAGAAATGTTTGTCTATTAGCCCGAAAACATCTTTTATAACTTTTATGAAACCTGATATTTAATAGTTGTTAATATATATAAAGTTTTATATGTTTAAATACTCATCAAATTAGACTGCTGCGAAATGGCATGTCTTCTAAAATCTGCTAAGCGAATCCATTGCAGATGTGATCGATCACACTTTATTTAATTCTCAGGTCGCGTTCCAATTCGGTTGAAGTTCACAAGAGTACGATCGTAACAGGCTATGCACGTTTATGGCAAATCGATTGAGAGGAAATAGGAAGAAGCGGAAGGAGTTGAGTTATCGTCTTGCAAAAATCTATTTATTCGTGTGATTTATTGTAGATGCAGTGAATTTTTTATTGAAAGATCGTAGATAATTCATCGATATGTGAATTGAAACGTAGGATCATGCGATCAGATATGCCAGTCTTCTGAAATTCACCAAAGAGTGTTTTAGTAGTAAAACCGCAAGACATCGCACTAAAAGAGACTAATTACAAATCACAATTATACAATAAAGTCTTGACCTTTAAATAATTTGGATTTATCTCTGACGAGTTTCATATTAGAAATTCAATTGCTTATACATCTGGCTTATATATTTCGCATAAAAAATTATAAAGTAAAGATTTACACTGTAAGATTAACATAAAAAAATCCGTAAGGCGCATACAGCAATTTATTGAATATGCATGTGAGACCCTGATATATCACTGACACATGATAAATTTTTTTTCACAAACTTTTTATCTATTATAAACATTGCCGGTTTCACATATCAAGGACGGCTAATTAGAGTTATATGTATGCATTATGGCTGAATGCGTCTAATCGATCGGTACGAGCGGTCGTTGCGACTCGGTGATCAAAGCTGGTAATATTTGCAGCGTATCTACTGTGAATTGCATCAAAATTAATCCCAACATATTCGTTACCGTTCCATAACTGTGTCCATATCCTGTTATATATTCTTACCCATTAAAAGAACGATTGAAATAAATCGCGTAGGCATCGTCCGAAATATTTCGGCGGTCATAAATTCTGCTACGTCGACAGCGAGTGAACCGATTATATGTATATTCGAGAAATATTCGTTGACCTAAGCAGCCGATGGTATTTAACTGGAGATTGCATGCGCGGAAAGACATAAAATGGGCGCGGTTTTATTACAAGCTGCGTGCAAAGGACGAGAAGCAATTTAATTAACGATTGTAGACTTTGCGCTGTTACCGCGTGTGTGACGTACGGTTTTGGTAGCCTCGCTTGTAAGGACATCCTCGCTTTTTTTCGCCGGCGATTTGGTCGGTAAGGTCACGGTCGTAATCCTCGTCGACACGTACACGTGTTTGCAGCTTGCAGCCCAGCAAAGTGTACGTATTTCCGCACACGTGTGTACGTGTGCGCGCACGCGATGCGGCGCGTGCGTAAATACGCGAGGGAGAACAAACTTTCTCGACGGCTAGGGGTGAGCTAACACATCCCCGCATACGCGAGGTCGGAGATGTGTTCCGCGCGTGGATTCTACGGAACTTATGCGAGAGTCTGAAGAGATTCTTTTCCACGAAACTCTATCAAATATTTGACGTATGATACTTTAAAAGAGAATTAAAAATATCAATTTTAACGCAAAATTCACTTAGCTCCGTCACATCTGAAAAGAATATTACAAACATTAGGAATAAGAAATTATATAAAATGTAGCTTGAAACAAGTGCGGATATTTATGTGATCAAGGGCCGATTTTTCCAGTCTCTTGGTAAGCTAGCTAATAATTAAATTATACGTCTATCTGTGTCTAATTTGAAGGAAAAACAACGACGTATGAGTTAACTATTAGTTAATTCACCAAGAGGTTGAAACAACCGGCTCTCAATTGCATTGATAATTGATTTGTTGATAATAAAGTGTTTAGATGATTTCGATCACGCTCTCGCATAACGTTAGACACTATAATTCTATTCACCGGTGCATTTTCGCATTCTGTAGAACGGTCGACAATTTTGTAGCTTATCTAACAACCACGAAAGCCCGGACATCCGATATTTGGATAATCCGAGTTTGGATGTAGTGAAATCACGGCCGCGCGATTGTGTGGCGGTGAGAGCATGCGCGCCCCGAGCTCTGTCTCCCTTTACGAGTCGGTCGCCCGTCCTTGTCTCGGAAAACTTTCCGGTGATGAGCTTTGTTGGTCGTTTCCCCAGCAGGACGGAAAAGTTAAATGCGAAAGTTTTATCCGATATCCAGTGCCTCTGCGCGCCTGGAAAAAGGTATCTACGCATGGCTATCGTGCGGCTTGGTCGCGCGATTACAGTTGCGTTTTTTGTTTTACAACAGCCTCGACGCTCTTATAAATAAAATTCGTACAACGACATGTGGTTCGCGATGTAAGACGTTAAAAACGGTGCGGGTTTTTCCAAGTACTTCTCTCTGACCGAGCAAAGAGTTAATGGCGTGGATTCCGGAATTAAAAATATACAATAAATCCCGTGTACGCGAAAATAACTGTAGATAATAGTGCTAGATTTTGGTTTAATTATTCTGTACATTGAACATGTTTCACGTAAAGTGCGGATTTGTCTGTTAACAGAATGGCGTCCAGGAAAACGAGGAAGAATCACTCGATACAGCATCTGCTCGAGTTGCCCTCGAACCGGGAGTCGAAATTATCGCGGTTTCCCGTGAAGGAGCAACTGCCGCCGTCCATGCCAACCCCTCGGCAAGTTCCGGTGACCGTGTTGCATCCCTCTCCGAAAAAGGTAAGTGGAACACAGAATAATCCGCGGGTAATCCGCGACGACAATCGTACGAGCGTGCAAACTCTGTGAAACTCGCGCGTATAATTCGCGCACACAGACGAGCGACATTGTCACGTCTGAGACGACGTCGGCAATATTCTAAAACTGTGCAAATGATCGAACTTAATAATAGAACGTCGAAGAAAAAGATCGCCCTACTTTTTAAGGACGACATGATTATTATCCCGCGCGGAGAATAATCGTTGAGGCGCTGGCTCGTCGAGCACATCGAGTTAAAAAATATTAAGTGATCTTCTCGAAAGAATTTCCCTCCGTGCGATGCTATGAAATATCTTTTACGCGTCATCGCGAGAGCCGATCCGTTTCTCACGACCTCTCGTAATTTTTCATATCGCGAAATTATCCGTACGAGAAGGGTCGAAAATGTCTATTAATTATAATGTAGCAGTATAATAGTATTTAGGAAATCTCAACGGAGATTAGAATTACCGAAAGAAGGATGAACTTTTTTTGGGGTTGTTATTTTGAATTGTTATTCGCGCGTAGAGTACTTATTTATTTATAAATTTATTTTTGGACCTCTCTATTTTGCACTTGACTGACTATTAGAAAGTTGCGAAACGAGGCCGCAACGTAAAAAGATGAGATCTGCGAGGAACGTAAAACGAAACGATTGTAACGGCATAAACCGCTGACGCTTCACATTGTCACGGTAGCTTTTTTTATCGATCATTTCGTACGTGGGACATTGTTATTACTCGTATAAATGTCGACGCAAGCTTGAATCCGTGAGGCACGGCGGAAGAGATAATTTTCAGCTTTATCACTGCCATATTGGCGGTCTTGCATTCTCGTTAAAAATGCTTTTAGTCTTATATGACAAGTTTAGCCAAAATTAAATCCGTTGTAGAGAAGAATGAATTAGTAAAATTACGCAATCTATATATACAATTTTTACACTATTTTAAAATAAATTATCTTCAACTGAATTTTACAAAATCGTGATCTAAATTAATAAAATGTAACGCTACTTATTATACATTGATGATAAATTTATGTATTACTTTGCATTGGAGAAAAATAGGATACAAAAGGTGGAACATTTATTCATGTTGCAATATTACTGAGCATTTTACAAAGCTATCCGATGTTACTATTACATTCCGAGTTGTAATTCATTATATAAATATATAAACGATTTTATTATTTAGCTTTATTCAGGTTTTTACAAATAGCTGTATTTATATTAATAATTATGTATTGACGTTATGGCTCAATATAATTATTATCAGAATTAACTTATCTTCGTGTATCTACAAAATATCTGCAACATCTCGTTAAATTTTGAATTTTATCAATATTGAAATATTTTAATTATTATCTTACCATGGTTTATACTATTTGAATCGATGCATTATATTATACATATACATGTATAAATCTTTAGATTCATATATCACATAATTTTCATTCACTTTCTTAATAATAATTATTTATTTGCGTCGTTAGACAGTTATATGGTTTTTCAAAACAGAAATAACAAGTAACCATTATTATCTCAAATGATTATACCGACATACCAGTTTATTATCGGCCGATAAACGAGATATTCTTCGTTATTCTGTGCTGACTAGGCTGAGAACTGCACGTGTCCCGACTGCGTTTCAATCGATAAGGCAAAGACTGCTGCCGACGAAGTAGAGCCCTTCTTTAGCGTCACAGGATCACAATTACAACTCGGAAAAATAAAAAATCAAATTTTGATAATTGCTTGAAACTTTATATTACTTCCAAGATTTATCATCAATTTAAAATAAAAACAGAAAATTTTATTTGAAATTATTGTTTATTAAATTTGATATTGCAAAAGTGTCGTTGATAAACAAGTTATAATGTTTACTTTTTACGAAGTATATTTGAATTATTATCATAGAATATAACGGAACGTATAAATGACACTGACTCGCAGAACATTGAACGTAATTGCGAGAGGTCTTCCGCGAAAATAGGGATGGGGTGCTTTACGGGAGTATAATTTGCTATTGAAATCCTGTGAATGGAGGTACGGCAGAAGCGTCTTGAGCATACGCAAGGTGTTGGGCGGGGACTGAATTTATGATAATTGCATAAATCAGAGCTTTCCTCCACAATAATCATAATCTATTGGGATAGTTGCGCGAAGTTAGCTATTTAGCCGTCGGCAAGGATCAGGGGAAGGAGATCGAGGGGTTGCTCTGCCCGGTCCTGAATAAGATAAAGCCCTCGCTGAGATTTGAACCTGGGAGGGAAACCATTCTTGTCACAAATCATTGTAGATACAGCGAGTTGGATAAAAATAAATATATTTGACACTGTACTATATACTGCGTTGAATATATTTATAGTGCAATTATATAAACATCTGCAATAATTGTTCTACAAAAAAAATTTAAGGCAACAGCCATGAAAATCTGTAGTATTAGAAACAATTTTCTCTATACATATTACGAGAAAGAAAACAAATTGTGTAAGTAGATTTTTGAAGATCAATAACAAGTCTTTGGAGCGACGAAGTTAACAGATGGTGCCACAGAGGGTGCCACCAGCAATGTTCTGGCGTTAGGGGTTGCGATTTCTTGTTTGAGCTCTAACACTCTCTAATCTCTTGCGATAGAAGGCAATAATTATTATAAAATATTCTCAATGTCAGTAACAATGTAGCGCAATTTTCCATGATTGCAAATCAACTAAATATTGAATCGTTCTTTAAAATGTAAGGTGAAGTTTATAGATAATTGTAACCTTTTGAAATTAAATTATTAAAAAATTAAGTCTGTTACATTTTTGTCTAATCTTATATATTCTAATAACTTCCGCTGATTCTGCTGAAAAGAACGGATTTAAGTAAGAAAATTGCGCTAGACTCGGAATATTTAATTTCAAGCAATTGTTTTCATACTTACGTGGGCTGGTAATTGCCTTTCCTTGCGGAACCTAAATCTTTCCTTATTGCAGAAGTACATTTTAAATGATCGCATCCAACTCGCGTTACCGCCAAAAGTTCGGTCATCCACGTCTTATAATATTACCATATGATACGGGAAGCGATTAGGGGTCGTACATTGTTTAATGCTTTCATAGGGACGAGTGACACCCCGAAGTTACCGAAATTGACCTTAATGCATCCGCTTTTAGTGGCCGGTGACGTTAAAACGCCATCAGCCTGGCTTCCCGTCTATGGGAAATCGACGGCTGACTGTCATTTCCGAATCACTAGTGATTTCTTTATTAACGGCACGAGTCTTCGCACGGGCGCGCCGCTGGAATATTAATGTTGAAATCTTCGCCGCCTCAACTTTCATGATCGTTACGGTTACGATTACGATTACGAGCAGCCGTTTCTCTTAAAGGCGAACCCTTATCCTGCGCAATATAATATTCTTTCGACGTATATAGATAATCCCTCATATTCTCGATACAATGATGATGCGCGTTGCAATTAAGTAAGCAATTATTTCAATAGAAATGGACATTTAATGATAGAGATTTTTGAAAGCAGTTTAAATTATGTAAAGTAATGCAGTTGCCTTCGTCTTTTAATTAATAAACATTACAGTATTAAAATTTCACTTCGTTTATCACGATGGAGAAAATATAGTTAAAAAATAGATTTTTCCCTCTCTCTTTCTCACTCGCTAACAAAGTAAACAAATACCTGTTTGGGCACGCGCTAATCTCAGGGTAGGTCGGAAAACGCGGCGTTAAAACACCGGAAAGCCAGCCCCAAATCCGCTTAAGGACGCGTATTTATTACGGACGTCTGCTTCGCCTCGACCGCTAACTCGTCTCTTCCATGCACGCGGTGTCACAGTTAAATATTCGGCTTAATTTTTTTACGGGCTTTATTCGACTGATACTACATCTCATTTTTATTAACGAATAATCTATTCGAATCGGCTAAAAAGATTTGTACAAATTGATAATTTTATACGTACATTTTTGACTGAAATTATGCCAAATTTTCTGATGTATATTTTTCAATACATGTGCGTTCCATCACCGGCCTGTCAATCGGCCCTGCTCTTCGGAAATGTTCTTCTTTGTATTTTGCAAGATACCGTTAGCGACTCTCTCGGGGGAACCTGAAAAGATGAAGCACAGTACCCTTTAACTTTGTCGAGCTGTCACGTTGATCGGGGTTGGAACGAACCCTCCAATTCACTCGGTGGGAGTAGCCACGCGGTTGAGTGAATTTTTATGAATGAATGCGCGAGGATACGCAGATCCAAGGCTTTGGAATGTGCACCCTGTTTTCACCCCTGTACCTATATTTACGACAGTGACTCTCAGTTGAAAATTTTATCAGGCGTTCGTAACGAGGCGGTCGGGCGAGGCAATTTTTTAAATTAGTCGCGCTACTTTAAGGGACGAAATTCCGCGTTAAAAATAGAAGCTTCCGGAATATTACTTTGATCACTGACGTTCCCTAGTGACACGCTTTTTTTATCGCCTTCTAGAACGTAGTAACCAAAAACGATTTGTTTAGCAGGATGTGACCCGAGGATCTTTCTAAATTTTATTTCACAAGTATATATATTTGAAACGGTTTAACATATCCTTTTATTTACGCGTACTTCCTGTAATGTGAAAATAATAATTGTGCACCGACACCGCTATACTCTTTAACTACAAAGCGACTCTTATTTGCTGGAGGGTCTGAGGTTGAAGGTGTTAGCGGCAGTACAAAAGAAGACTTCACCCTTCATGCCTAGAGGGGAGTTTATAAAAATCGTGTCAATTAGGCTTCGAGAAAGGAAGACAAGCTCGGATACAGTGCTCGACGAGTAAGGGCTTTTAATTCCTGTTATAAAGAGATCACTAGCGGACAATTTATTTCTCGAGTGTTGTCAGATATCATTTCCCAAAAAGGCAAATTTTTTTAGATATTTCATAGATACATAGTTTTCTCTACTATTATTAAAATAAACGTGAATTTTTAAATGTAGAATTGGTATTTTAAT